GCACCTTGCTAGTTCATAAAAGCAATAACCAGATGTTGGCATATGAGAAGTCTGAAGGAATCCATAAAAATAAACAGATTGAAGGTCTAGACACTTACGACCCAAGCACCCTACAGCGCGGGCACCTAGTAGGTACTCCACAGCGAGAATAAATCATTGAGAGAGGAACACATGAGAGAAAGGAATGAGAAAGGGAGGGACTCTGTCATTTTTACTTCAGAACCATCTTCCTGCTGAGTACTGTTCATTCCTTCGTTTATCCATGCAGTTCAGTTCATTATATTTACTAGGCGTTAGAGATGGAGAAAACCAAGCCTCCTCCACATTGCCAGCCTACGGCTACTCGTTCTCTTACACTTGAACTCTTGATCAGGTAATTCTCAGTGTCAAAAACAGTATTATTCCTTTATCCTTCCACAGAAGGCTCTTCCAAGGAATAATTTTAAATATTATCCAGCTTTGTCAAAGCATAGCTGAAGTGAATAAAATAAGATTCATGGACTTCATGCTTAATAACATTTATATAAATCTCTCCACTCTCCTATACATTAATATATATTCCACTATTCACTATATCTTTGTGCCTTTGACTATAGATGTAGGTGCCTTCGACTTCACATTAGGTTTACAGTAGCTACACACTAGCTACACACTTCCCAGTAGCTAACATCTGTTAGTGTGAGGAGGAAAATCCATTAATTACATTCTCATTCTGAATTCACCTACTTTTTAAAATAAGATATTTAATTTTGAACATATTCCTATATTTCATTAAAAATAGGAATGTATTTTTTATTAAATTCCTAAATCTCACATCTCAACCCACGAGAACAAGCTTGCCAATCTTTCAAGTACTTACAATGGAGAAATGAAAATTGAATCAGCCAAGAGAATGAAATCATAAATAAAAATGTTAAATCTTTCCTGTTCCACCATTTAGCACTCAGTCTTTTGTAATAATGTACACTTTTTAAATGCCATATATAAAACTGGAAACCTCCAGAAGAAAGACTTAGTATCTACCATATATTTTAGAAATACATAAGCTACTGTAAGATAAGAGAAATAGGCAAAAGTGCATCTCAAAGGAAAGATGTAGCTTTTTAACCTTACCTTCCCAACGTTTCAACAAAACACAAGTTTCCATTAGTGTTCTGCCAAATACTCCTTCTTTTTTCTATTTTTTCCTTCCTTTTAATTTTTGAAAGTGATGCTGAAAATTTTGTTTAGTAGTTTTCAATTAAAAAAAAAAACTGCAGCATCTTATTTGAATGGAGATTAAAAAACTGAAAAATTTGAAAACTGCATGAGTTGCTTTTTTACAGTAGATGACATATTTTCTGTCAACTTCCTCTATTTCTTCATGAGTCACACCATACTTTAGTGTACAAATAAATAAAACATTATGAAGAATATTTCCAAAATATTTTTAAAGCCAGCAACCCCACACTCAGAGTAAAAGAGCTGAAGGGAAGCAAACTCTTTTGCATTATTTCAGGCTATTCTGCTTTATTCATGAGCATTATAAAGCCCCGAAAATAAAGAACAGTTATTGTCTGCACTGTGACAAAGCCAACATTCCTCTTTGCAAACAGCACCACGTATTTATGAACAGCAACAGACACAGAGATATCAGTTTGTTCCTTTTAGCTTATAAAATGCTCCATCCTATATGAATGACTACACTTAGGATATAGTGAAGCCCCAGGTCATAATTACGGACACATCCAAAAACAGATTTTTGCTTTGTTGTTTGTTGATTTCCTTAAAAATCTGATTGAGACAAACACAAATAAATTCCACAAAGGAAAAATGGAAGAGTTGTCCCAATAGGCTGATTCCAACTCTACTGGTATGTACCTTCCAGGGCTAACTTCCAGAGCTGAATGTGGACTGTATACGGCATAACCTTCTGTCTTCTAGCACCAGTTGCCAGCACCGTTTCCTCCCTCCCTTTAACAATTTCTTCATCTCACAGTAATGTGCCTGCCCACTAAATCCACAGACCCAAGTGATCGTTCCCACCAGCCGCATCCAAGGGATTGCTTCAAAAACAGGCTTCCACAGGATTCTATAAAAGCCATGAGAGAAGGAACCATACTACATCTAGACTGCCAACCAGTCCAAAGTCTTCTATAACCCAGAATACCAGTTAAAAAAAAAAAAAACAGGTTAATACTGTTGGAGCAGAGGACATAAATGAACTATTTAAAAGTCAAAATATCAAAACGTAGCAAAATCTACTTACAACATTTGAGAAGTGAATTGATGTCCCCATTAAATTTCTCTCAAGCAGACAGTTTCCCAATAAAATGTGTTGGCTTCTTTCTTCTTAGAAAAATAAAGACTGAATTGTTTTCAGATATTCTGATGGCACAAAAACTAGATGGTAGGCATTTTACTTATTGATAAAGGTGCCTGCTCAATTATGGTACAGTAAATGTGATTTCTCAAATTGCTTTCAGCATATATATTTAAGCTTCTTTTTATGGACATAAGCCTAAAGCTACTTACTCTATTTATTAAATTAAAAGCAGGTAAATAAGAGAATGTGTTCCAGTAAAGTTAGCCTTTAGGCAAATTTCTTCTAAATTTATCTTGCCTTCTCTGGATTCTTAAATAAAACTTGACATTTCACAAAGGCAGAAAACAACAATTTATAACAAGTCATATTTAAGAAAGTTCCTACCATTTTCATTTTTTATGATTAATATTTAAGTAAACAGCAAAACTCAACCTATTGAATACAACACAATGTATTAAAGAGAAAAAATTTTAATGTATATACAATTACCTGACACTCTGGTAGATAGAGACAATGCCATGTATTTCTATTACTTAGTTGTCACCAAACTTTTAACAATATCACCAAAATTTTTCAGCAGCCTGAACCCATCTTAAAAATCTAAATAATTCAGGTTTTGTATTTTTCCCAATCATTTGAACTTAATGTATTCTCTCTCTCTCTCTCTCTCTCTATATATATATATATGTATGTATACATATATATATTTTTTTCCTAAGTAGGCTCCACAGCCACCATGGGGCTTGAATTCACGACCCTGAGATCAAGAGTTGCATGCTCTACCAACTGAGCCAGGCAGGCATTCCATAACGTACGCTATCTCTCTATCTTGATCAATTTATCCAGCAAAGTGTGAAAGGTTACCGTATCTTTTGAAGGCAGAAGAAAATGTTCCACGAACATTCACTGAATGCCCAAAAATTAGCAACTGATGGCACTTTCTTTCACTTCTATAGTTAACACTGCTACCCAAAAAAGTTGGCTTCTTTGGTCATGATCTTCTTTGGCCAAATATTCTTACTTGAAGGGATTTAGTTTTGACATTAAAAGTTGAGAAATCATAATGAAGCTTTCCTACTCAAAAATCTTTAATGACTCTCAAACTCAAGATGATGCTTTAAGTCTCCTTCCATGTGAGTCCAGCTCACCTTTTCAAGCATATGAGTCTCCACCACACTCCCCATCCCTGTTCTGGTCAAACTGGTTTATTCACTGTCCCTTTATCACTACAATGTATTATCCATATTGTGCATGTTGTCATTTTCATGAGGCAAAATCATTATATCACTCTGTGTGTGTAGTAGTTAAAGTCTTCTGGTTCTGGTTCAGCCAGTTGAAATCACAAATTTTTGCTTAAAAAGCATATCAATATGTTTTCCTCCAACAATTTCACATGAATATATCCCATAACAGAAATAAGGTTGTTTCTAAGACATCCAAAAAAAATCACTAAAATAATAACATCTTAAAATCTGGTAAGTCAGGGCGCCTGGGTGGCTCAGTTGGTTAAGCGACTGCCTTCGGCTCAGGTCATGATCCTGGAGTCCCGGGATCGAGTCCCGCATTGGGCTCCCTGCTCAGCAGGGAGTCTGCTTCTCCCTCTGATCCTCCCCCCTCTCATGCTCTCTCTATCTCATTCTCTCTCTCAAATAAATAGATAAAATCTTTAAAAAAAAAAAATCTGGTAAGTCAGTTTCCACAAAAAAAATCATCAATTCATCATGAACTACATTTCATCTCAACTTAAATTTTATTCTGATTTATTGTACTTATTTTATTTAATGAGCATAGTTTTAAAAATTAATCAGCTTTGTGCTTTAGTTATGCATGTAAACAAAGCACAAATTATTTAAATAGATGGACATTAATATACTTAAGAAAAAGGAATACTAACAAGTTATATTTTGCTTTGAACAAAAGCAATAAATTTGTGAAAAGTAGTGTAATCTAGATGTTTTCATTCTAATCATATACAGAAAAGCTAATGCTTTATAAAAAGAAAAATAAATTAAGCTATTTTATTGTAGTAATAAGGAATTTTATAGAGATGATGACTAAAATAAGAAAAAGATAATCTATTTTCCAATGTGCCTTGTAATTTTATAACCCACTTATTTTATTTCTGAACATACTGTTTGAATTAAGGTTGAGTTCTGGTCTTAGCTGATCCTTAAATATCTAATTAATATGTCCTATTTTACTGTTTATCAGACTTGTCTGCACTTTGATATATTACACTGGTGTTCTTACGAAAACCACATGAGGTAGCAGGGGGAAAAATTCGACAAATATTTCTTCAAATCATATTTTTAAAAACAAATCTATAACTATCCAGTTAAAAGCAATGAGATTTTATTTTATGGAATACTTCACTAAAATCTAATAATTATGTCCATCCATGTTGAAGTAAAACTGTAGGTCAGAATACTGGGGGCCCTGGAAGGACCCTAGAAGGGCATATATTTCCAAGGACCATTTCACTAACGTAACAGTTTCCCCAGTCCAACTCAGTATTTATGCCCAAGGATGACCTCGGAAACAAGTTCTGAGGGTTAGAAGAAGCTAAAACTTCACTTTATACCAGAATAACGGTATGCAAAGACAAGTAAACCCAGCCAATTTTCCCAGTATAATAATAAGAGGAAAACTGCCTAACAAGGCTTCTCCCTACTTTCAGAAATCAAGATACATTTACCTTGAAAAGCCGCGGCATTTCGCGATATTAGAAACTTCAGTGTTGAGCTGGATGTTTGAAGCACTTGCTGCATATCTTGGCGAGCCGCAATCTGGTATCTCTCCTCCATCTTCCTGGTGCAACATGTAGGTTTTTTGGATATGCAAACCTGAAGATCGGGTCCTGGAACAGATACAGTATTTTTTAGAATAATTACCTATTCATTTAACAAACATTACATGTTACATGTCAGGCATTAATAATCAGTACTGCATATAAGGGGCTCACGTTCTATGTGAGAAACTGATTTACCAGAGCAATTGCTATTTAAAAATACATATATATATATAAATATATATATGTATTGTCCATTAACACAACCATGAAACAAAATATTCTAAACCATTAACTCTTTGCTCAACTATTTTCTTAACATATTGATCAAATATTAAGTATGTCCACTCAATTAACTAATTACTATTAACAACAACTAGACATATAATAGAAAACAAACTATTATATAAGTACAGCGCTAAATCAGGAAATTTTTATTTTTGCTTATTTTGTTAAATCAGCGAAAAGTATTTGATCTACATATGTTTTACAGAAGAATATGGCTAAAACAATTATTTTTCCTGAGGGGAAAATAATCAAATTTTGTACATCAAATAAAGATGAAGATGCTTCACCTGATTTCTTAGCTCCCCATAATGCTCTGCTTCTTGTGGAATAAGTGATTATCAGCAATAACAATGTAATGGGGGATCTTGATCCCCATGGGCCAAACCCACCATCTGAAATTCTACTCATTACCTAGCTTGCTAGAGACAATTCCTACCATTTAAAGTACTTTTTATTTTTTAAGATTTTATTTCTGGGGCGCCTGGATGGCTCAGTCATTAAGCGTCTGCCTTCGACTCAGGTCATGATCCCAAGGTCTTGGGATTAAGCCCCACATCCAGCTCCCTGCTCAGTGGGAAGCCTGCTTCTCCCTCTCCCACTCCCCCTGCTTGTATTCCCTCTCTCGCTGTCTCTCTCGCTGTCAAATACATAAATAAAATCTTTAAAAAAATTTAGAGATTTTATTTCTTTATTTCAGTGAGAGAGAGAGAGAGCATGAGCAGGAGGAGGGGCAGAAGGAGAGGGAGAAGCAGGCTCCCCGCTGAGCAGGGAGCCCGACGCAGGACTCGATCCTAGAATGCTGGGATCATGATCTGAGCCAAAGGCAGCCACTTAACCCCCTGAGCCACCCAGGTGCCCCTTAAAAGTACTTTTTAGTTTTACAACTGTATTCAGAAAACTTCTGGGAAGATGCATATTAGATGAAATGTGAAGTTATTATATATATGTTAATAGTTGTGGTTAGAAAAATGCTAGTATGATTAACAACTCTCATCCTAGATGAGCTAAAACCTCATGTTATACCAGAATAATATACAAATACAAAAAAAGTAAACCCAACCAAGTTTACGAGTACAACAATAATGAGCCAATTACAGAACAAGACAGGGCAGGCACCTTTACCCACAGCAGGTGTGCTAGAGAATGGAGAAGTAAAGGGGCGCAGCATGATGGTGCTATGAAGGATAACACTGATGGGGCATCATGGTATGAGCCCCAGGGCATCCCAAGGCCACCCAAGGTTTTATGTAAAGCTCAGGATAATTTTATTTACATGTCCTAATAGAATACATTATTTCCTTATTTTAGGGTAGGAAAAATGTGGCCTTACTGATATCTGGGGAGTTTCACAGCACCCAGGTTAGCTCTTCACTGATCAAGAGAAGATCAGCAAATACAAAATATTCACGTGTGCGCGTGCGCACGCTCACACACACGCACACTGTCAAGTTCCCCCCTTGTCACGCAGAGTCGACCGCAGGCCTTGAATTCCAAAAGTTGGTTCTGGGTAAGTTCAAAACATGTGAAATCAGTCTGAATTTCCTGCCAACACAAGACACCAAAATTTCTAATGATTTTGGTTTTGGTTTGTTTAAGTTAGACAAGTAACAAATGACAGCATTTGAGCATTTCACAAAGGTGAAGAGGCATAAAATATTTATGTGTGTCACAGCAGGTAATATTTTGGCAATTGTTTTTCATTTATCTTGCCTAAAGTTATACAAAAGCAAATTCCACTTCAAATAGTAAAGCTGATTGAAAGAAAACAAAAAATTTTACCTTCAAAAATACGTATTTCCTAGCTTCACTGAAAAGGTCTAGAAACAATGACCAACTGAGTGGCAAAGGGCATCCCTTGTGCCCAGATTATCGTCTTGCAGTATCATTTCTCTCAAAAAGAAATGAGTGCTTCTTAAAGAAATGCCTCATTCTAGGTCTGGGGCAGGAAATACAGAAGATGACAAACTAGCTAAAGCATCTTGTCTACCAGATAGCAAAGAAGCTATCAAATAACTAGTCGGGTCTCAGGAAAAGGATTCAGGAGCTATGTTAGCCTGCTAGGGTTGTCATAAAATACCACAGACTGGTCAGTTAACAACAGAAATTTATTTTCTCGCGGCTCTGGACACTGGAAGTCCAAAATCACAGTGCTGGCAAGCTAGGTATCTCTTGAGAACTATCTCCTTGTCTTGCAGATAGCCATCTTCTCTCTGTGTCCTTCCATGGCCTTTTCTTTGCACATGTGTACTCTTTTTTTTTTTTTTAAAGATTTTATTTATTTATTTGAGAGAGAGTGAGAGAGAGAAAGAGCACAAGAGGGGGGAGCGGGAGAGGGAGAAGCAGACTCCCCGCTGAGCAGGTAGCCTGATGCGGGACTCGATCCCGGGACTCCAGGATCATGACCTGAGCCGAAGGCAGTCGCTTAACCAGCTGAGCCACCCAGGCGCCCAACACATGTGTACTCTTGGTATCTTTTCTCTCTTCATATAAGGACACCAGTCATATTGGAGTAGGACCCATCTTCATAACTGTATTTAACCTTCCCTCCTTCCTTAAAGGCCCCATCTCTAAATAGAGCCATGTTGGGTGGTAGGGCTTCAACTTAGGAATTCGGGGGTGGGGGTGGCAAGGGGGAGACACAATTTAGTCTAACACAGCAGTCAATTTCAAGCGATCTCTACTGGCTAAACATGGGACAATCTGAGCTTCAATAACAATGACTGTTAATGAGTTGCAACTAGTCAAATACGCTTAAATCCAAGGCTTTTCTTTTTCTGCGCTTTATTTTATAATAAAGAAGAGTTTTAAAATAGAATGGCTAGTTGATAGTATACATTCTCCTTTTGTTTCAAACATTTACTCTCCCCTAGTCAACTTACAGGATTTCTGTACTTGTAGCACAAACCAGCTTTATTGATGGTTGACGGAGAAAAGAGCCCTTGGTACCAAGACACTGAGCTCAAGATATATTTCAGGATCACCGGAGTAGATGTTACATGTCATGAAATACCAAATGCTCACCAGACGAAAAGAGGACCTTGGAATTAGGAGTAGGAAGGTTAGACTGGTAAACTTGCTCCACCTACCTTTTCTGAGATTATCTTCTTGCCATAAATTCTGAAAGTGATAGGAGTTTGTAAAATGTTATATGGTGAAACGGTTCTGAGTCAAATGTATTCCTTCACCTAGCTGGAATAAAAAATACTGAGGTCCATGAATCCAGCAAGAATGATGACAATGGCATTGGGTCTGCTGGGAACTGGCGGGTATCCGTTCCCCCTTCTGCAATTTCCTTGTCAGTTTCACCTGTCCCTCACTCACACACATGCCATTCAAATGACATCGACAGGCATACACACGTATATACGTATATACAGTGATGAGTCTAGATTGGTTAAAACATAGCATCCTATCCTGTCGGCACGGTGACTGAGTCAGAAATAGGCAGCCAGTCACAAGAAAGAGATGCAAAAAGATATTTGCTGGGGCCTCCAGGAAAGCAAAGCTTTCTCTGTCCTGCTGGAACTGAATTTAATGATGCAAGGATGCAGAGCCTGTGGGTGCTACAGTCATTCGACAGCTCGGAGTGAAGCCTGGATCTACCTCAGCCTCTTCTGTCACCTGCCACAGAAAGAGATCTGGCCAGTACAACAGTACTAATAGTACCCGGGGTTACAGCAGGCTAAACCATGCCACTCTGTTATGCTTTATTCCAGAACTTCAAAAGGACTTGATATTAAGTGGAGGGTCGAATAGCACCCACTCAGTGCCCTCTCCAGTGTCCTGCCCTGAAGTGGTAATAAACTTTTATGTCCAAGAAACAGGAAGAAGGGTCCCACTTGCAGTATGACGGTGCCACCAACAGAGCGCAACCATTAACTCTGGACAAAATGCAACATTCGATGACCTGAAAGCTCTAGGGAGTGAATGAAAGAGGAAAGATTCCGGAATGGAGTCACTATTCAGAAGAAGGGAAAAGCCATAGGGTTCGTTTCCCATCTCTGTGGCTCTTAGTCTGAGGGCAGCCCATCTATAAAGTGACTAAATTCCAATTTAAAAAAACTCAATCTTTTTAGGACCGAAGCACTAGATGATAGAAATCCAGGCAATCACAGTGGCTGGAAAGTGAGCAAGGAACACCAGCCAAGAGAGGGCCAGAGAGACGGAACCCTAACTGCTGTATGTACAGTCTGCCCAAATCTCTGGCTAAGCCCTAAACTGCACCTCACGTGACCAGGGCCGACTCCAAGTTGTCCCGCTATGGGCAAGCTAAGGAAAACGGACTTGATTAAAACTGCAGTAGCTTCCCAAGAGGCACAATTGACAGTTTGAGTCCAACCAGAGTAATTCTCTCCCAAGACAAACATAGTAACACTCTTTGGAGGAATATAATAGAATCCAGAGACACCAATAACATAACATTCACAGTGTCCAGGGGGGGCAATTTAAAATAACTGGACATATGAAGCATCTGTATTATGTGACCCATTTTCAAGAGATAAGACGATAATTCAGATCAACACGAGATGATCCAGATGTTAGAACAGGGAAGGGCTCTAAAGAGCTATTACAACTCTGTTCAACAAAGTAAAAGGAGGTATCTTAGAGTAAGATACCTCAGGAGGGAAAAAGAAACTACTAAGAAAAACAAAATGGAAATTTGGTAACTGAAAAATATAATATGTGGAATGAAAACTTTACTGGATGGGCTCCACAGCTAAATAGAAATGACAGAGAAAAGACTCAGAGAACTTTAGGAGAGACCAGTACAAAGTATTCAA